TTCGTTACGAATCGTATTACTGCTCTCAAAGCAACTACTACTAACGAAAATTTTTTGATGTCAGTAATACGATTCGTAACGAAAACCGATAAGGTCTTCGTAGAATGAAGCCAATGAATAACACACTGCGAATCTGTCCATAAATATTTTTCATCGACTGGACACGATAAACTATCGACGACGAAGTTTAAGCGCCGACTGCCGATGTGAACCGCTAATAATTCAAGCCGAGGCATCGTAATAATTTTCGTGGGTGCCAAAGGTGACTTTGCAAAAAGTAAGCTTGTGAGGATCGACGTATCAGCTTTTTCCTAAGCGCGGCAAAAGTGACCAGTTCTCTAATGCTATGTATCAGTGCCAGTAAAGGTTAGATTGCTGAAATTGAATGTTACGAACTCCAGACTAGCGTCTTCTTCGAAAAGGTTTGACTATCAACAGAAATGTATCTTGTTTCATTATCGATCAAAGAATTTAATTCGCTTCGTATTTTATTTTGTATACTCGTTGACATATGTCCGTGTGTATTAATTTTTGAATACTTTTTCGAATAAACCCCCTCCCATATTAAAAGCCCCAGGGGGCTTCTATTTTGCCCTGGAAACTTTGACCGGGTTTCGCTGGGTAAAACTGAAAGTTTTGTTGGAGAGATCTCTCCCAGGAGGGCTTCTAATATGGGAGGGGCTTCTATTACGGGAGGGGGTTTACGGTAATGTCCAATAATTCTGCTAATTGTGATACAATTTCCCTTGTATTTTTCCATCCTGTTCTTCGATTTATATTCGAAGTATATGTAAATTGGTTCTACGATCATAATGTTCGAGATGGTTCATTCGATTAGTTAAATCAACTTTATAATGTTTCATATTCTCTTCGCATGCATTTAATTCTGTTATTAACCTATCTTCTTTTATATTTTCAGCTGTTGTTCTTCTTGTTGTCAATGTATCGTTGTTTTGTTATTTCAGCTTTAAATTTAACTAATTCATCATCATCATACGCCATTAATTTTAATGCCGACTCTTTTCTTGTTTTCCCCAAATCAGAATTTGTCTTGACCATTTGCTCATTTATTAGTAAAGCCAGTTTCGTGAGCAAATTCTTCTTTAATCAATTCGATTATTTTGGAGTAACAAACTTCAAATATTACGAGTTTCTTGGTTTCTTCAATAGAACCGACCATTTAACGTCATTGCTTTACTCAAAATATGTTTAACAGCAAGCAACCATTGTTGACAGGAAAACGGTTGATCGGAAGTCAGAATAGAATGCAACTGCTTACGGATGAGAAATAGGAAGGATAAAAAATAGGGAGGTTTTGGTTTTTTGTAGAAATTCACTAACTACAGTAGTGTTTTATCGCTGGCCAGTGATTTGATTTGTATCTGCTCTCTAAAAAAAGAAGGTTTATTACGAAACGGATATGGACGAGTGCAACCATTTCTAAACCCTTTTAGGTTTCGTAGAAGACCAGGTGCAGTACGAAACCGTACCAATTTAGGATGTGCAATTTATTTCGGTCGATGCACTTTTGAATAGTGTGGTTGAATTCAGTTTTGATTTCGGTAAAAGTGTTGAAATTCAATGTTTTTAAAGTACAGAAGGCGAAGATCTATAACATAATCACTTTAAAGTGAGATTCTGTTTTTCGCACAAGGTGAGTCTCAGAAAGACTTTTATATATGATGATCAAACAAGTCCCAAGGTCAATTCCCTCGCAAACGATACTTTGAATTTTCTTGATTGAAACGATGTCTCTTTGATCTATAAATAGTTTCTATATTTATCTATATTTATTAGTCAACTGAAATAAGCATCACAGATAGTCGAGAATCTCAAAGCATTGTACCTAGCTGTGTTATTTTTTAATAGCAGATTTTTAACATCAAGCCTAATTTTTCGTGCATCCTTCAAAAATTTTAAACAGAAAGATATAGGATTTTAATTATATCTTTTTCGAGAGACAGAGAGAGCATGTCGTCATTTTTAAAAAGTAAATGATCTATTGTTACGTCGGTTATTTGTAGTACAGACTAAAACGTTTCTACTAACAGTTCTGAACGTTGTGCTGTATATTTTGCACAGAAAAAAGAAAAAGTGAGATGATGATTCTCTTTTATATCTGCACTCAAACGTGGGGGCAGCCACTAAATGTCTTTTAGTCAAATCCTCATTCCATTGTGCGAAACCCAGTTGAAAGGGTGAAAAGTCTATTTCCAAAATTCTGACAGTCACAGGTGGAAGATAAAAAGGTATTTTCGAAAATTTAATAAATATGCATCGTACAGAGCGCAAACACATCTCTGTACGATGCATATTTATTGAATTTTCGAAAAGATGGGTATCTATAGACTGTTTATTATAACAGACCACCAGTTTACATCTAAAATGGAAGAATAACATTGCTGTCAAAATAGATCTAGAAAGATAAGAAAAACGAAAATTCAATAAATACGCATCGTACAGAGCGCAAACACATCTCATTTGAAAGCAATTTTTGTACTCTATCAAGTCAGACATATAAAATAAGTTTGATTGATGATGTTTCATTAAAAATTTAAAAAAAAAAAGATCTTCAAAAATCTGTAAAACACGCCCAAAATAATTTTGCGAAGAAGTTTGAAATAAGTTTCAACAGAGCTCGTTTTGCTCTATTTATCCTAACAGGTTCACATCTGGATCACGTTGTCCCTTCAAGAAAAATATGCATCCAAATATGGTCACAAATTATGCATCCAAAAATGAGATTTCTCTAAATGAATTAATAATTTTTGATAGAAATTTCAGAGCACATAACCCATATAATAATACATCTTTCCTAAAAATTTCGTTGCAGAAGATTGCATATTTTCGGACAAAACTGGACTTTATTAATTTTGCGTCAAACTCCCTCTCTATCAAGCGACACCTATAGCTCGGGAACAAAACATTTTTAGAGCGCCATCTTTTGGCTGTAAGCTAATCAATATTAAGCCTATACGTGGCAAAAATTACAGTCCGATCTGTCACATCAGCAATCTCGAACTGTCGGACCCTATCTGATAATGGCTCTTAAGAGGAGCTACTTTTTGAAGTTGTAGACCTTCCAACTCTCTATCTTTCTGCGCTAACCGCAGATCTCCAGCTATTGTACCTACTGAGATAACTCAACTTTAATGTTGATGGACAGAAAACTGGTAACTTGTCTCTCAACTCAATATTATTGATTTTTCGGCAGAAAGACATGCTTGAATTTCAACTCAAAGCACATATTCCGAAAGCCTGAGGTCTAATAGCGCTAAAACTCAGAGTTTTACACCATGTTTGATCTCTGACTCAGCCGCCAGACAAAATGAGATGATGCCTTTATTAGGACTGGTGAAGAAGGGCGAGAGCTTCACAACAACAAAAAAATTTATTGAGTTTGCTTGAACAGAACCGGAGATATTTGCATTTTACATCTTGGAACGGAACGGTACAATGGCGTTGCTATTCACTCATATATATAGTCACAATATCATGAATACGTATATATTATATATGTATTCATGATATTGTCAGTTGTATCGGTTGTTTGATTATAACCGTAACGCGAGCATTTGAAACTTTTTCGTTTATATTGCTTACTAAGTTCTCTGTAAATTATTAATGAACTATATTCAACTGGCTAAACAACAACGTCAACATTCAAAAATATTGAATTATTATTAAAATAGTGAGTTTCTTGCTAGTCTGAATTTTATTCAAAAGTTTGTAGAAGAAAAACTAAGATTATATATATCTTTCCTGCGATTATTTTTAACTATGAAATCTTAATATGATTAGATACATATTTTATTTGAGAGAAGAAGTTTAATCTCGATTAATAGACAGGTGTTGCGCTAGTTAAGTTCCAAATATAAGCACAGTGTTTTGGATGTAGATCCCAAGGTAAATTATACGATAGTCTAACTACCTCTTTACGATTTAATCCATATTTGTCTGGATTATGGCAAGCATCATATAACCAAACACAGAAATTAGCATCTGGTAGTTCATTTAGTGTGCATTGACGTTCACCCTCTCTTCCCAATCGTGCTCCCATACTTCGATTTTCTGACCGTGGCACATATCTCTATAGCCGAGCATATCACGGGTATGATCAAAATCAACGTGACGACCAGGATTCTTTTTCAATTCTTTTCGTCCCCATTTTTCTACACGTTCTTTCATTTCTTGATGAAAAGGTGCATGTGAACAGTATAAATTGAATAAACTATAACTGTATTTCATTTGTCGATATTGACGACCATGCGTTTTTTCTGATGGAGAATAGGTATGTATTCTTGCTTGTAGACGAGTTTTGTTAAAACGAGCATTTGCACAATTTTCTGTAAATTTTATATGACCAATATTTAAACAGACGCCACCGTATACAATTATTGTTGATGTCGATGGCAATTGCGAATGTAATTTGTCAACATAGAATGCTTTCGGTACCCAATCACTATGAACTTTTTTCATTTGAGATATCCATTCAACTTGTTTCTTTTATTCGATCACAATTGTATTACGTTCGAGATTCTGCAGCTGTCTTTTCTCTTTTTCCAAATAAATATTATAGGCTACTATTGAAATTTGATTATCAACAGAAATGTATCTTGTTTCATTATCGATCAAAGAATTTAATTCGCTTCGTATTTTATTTTGTATATTCGTTGACATATGTCCGTGTGTATCAGTTTTTTTCAAAATATCAATCATTTGTTGAATAAGTGATTGACGAAATTTTGTTCTTGATTCGGTTAGTGCATTCTGTACTTTTGAACGTTCTTCATATGACAAATCATACAATGAATTTAAACCTTGACGTTGTAACAAATTGTCGAGGTTTTCCTGTTGTTCTCTTGTTTTTGTTACATATTCATCTATAATTTTTTCACCAATGTTTTTAACACCTGTTTTTATATGTTCACAAAAATCTGACTTAGTCATACTTTCTGTTTTATTTTTAATAATGCCTATCAATAGTCGATAAGCCGTTGCTAATTTTAATAATTCTTTTAAGCGTAAAAGTTCTGGAAAATATAAACCAATTTCATCACAATGTTTTATAAAGTCCCTAGCAAATTTAGCCTCTGGTGATGTATCACTTTCATCAGCACTCTCTTCAGCATCAATCAAATCCCCACAAGCATTTCGCGTTAGTAAATGTTTTTCAACTATCATTCTAACATCATTGAAATAGAATGTTATTATATGTTCATCATCATCATTCTTTTCAATTAATTTACATTCAATTGGTGATGAATCAATCCAGAAACGATGTGCCTGATTCATTTGAACATTTCGTATATTGTATTCGTGTAACGGTTTTAAAATTTCTCGTAAATGATCTGGTAAACGTTTTAATAAGCCATCATGCATTGATCGAAGATTGTATGGTGGTAAAGGATTAACTTCAATGCCGGTAACAAAAAGTTTTAGAAGATAATCAGCATGAAACATTGTTAAAAGTAAATCGGATCCAATTAATTTATCGGATTTAAACCGCATACGCTGATAAGGATAATGATTCATTGACGGAAGAGAAAATTGATCATTTAATTCATCGAGACTAAATACAATACCTTCATCGAGTCCCATACGCATTATTTCACCAAAATCATTATCACTTATCAAATCAGTTGGGCAATTGTTTGATTTTGATTCAAATAAATAATCACAATTACCTGGTGATATATTAATTTGTATGCCTATAACAGTAGCATATGTATTTATTGTACTATCAGCCTCATTTTGTTTCATTTTCAATTTATGTTTTGCTGACAAATACCATCCATCTTTTGTTCTTGGTATCATTGGCCAATTTAGATTAGCAGTGATTTGTTCATAACGAATTTGTTTCGTATGTAATAAATAATTCATTACGTATTTACGTGCTCGATTCCATGATGACTCATTATTTGCAACACTGCTTGAATTTTCTGTGATTTTTCTTGATCGTAGTAGTCATCTCCAAATACATGGGAAGTAGAACGAAAACCAAATATTCGTCTAAAAAATGAGCCAATTCCACCACTAGCAGCTGTGGGAGGCTTAGTTGACGGCTGCATTACAGTTGAGTTGTCATTATCGAGTACGACATATTCGGGATCAATTTGTTTTTGTTCTTCAACAGTCGTATGTTCAGGTGGTGAAAGTGGTAAGTCTAACCAACCGAAAGTATAGTTTTCAAGCATATAGTACCATAATTCATCAACTGTTAACAGTGCTGGGGTTTCATTTCGAGTGAATGATGGCAACTTGTTGACGGTTGTAGAATTATTTTTATTTAATATCAAAATTAAACTTTGCTATTTGTTGATTCTCTATGAGATACTTTTCATAATGACAAGTAATTAGATATCGTATAAATTGTACGGTGAGCATAATTATATAGACATGATCTTATATAGGACAAATGGGATACGCTAAAAATGATAGTAATGGTATTATTGACAGTATATTTCGAATACATTCATCAGCTCTTGATACATCGGAAAGTGAATAAATATTTTTAATTTTGTATTTTAGTGAGAAAAATTCAGCCGATTTCATTAATAATGTTAAATTAAAACGATATGTGTACAATTGTAAACTGGATGATCCACAACAACTAAAATAGTATGCTATATTAAGATAATCACTAAGCATTTCTTTGCAAGCGTAAACATAGTTGATATGATTAGTAAGATTATTTTCCATTGCATGATACCAACTCAAAGCTGACAAAAGCCAACAGGCCAGCATTGATGATAATTCTGGTGCCGATGATGCCAAAACAATATAGTGCAAAGCTAATTCAATGTAAACGCCTGATGAGTTTTTCTCAACTTTCTTCTTAGTACTTCGTCCCATTTCAATAACATATTAATATCATGGTTTGAACGTAATAAATTAGCATACATATGTTTCGCTACTAATATATCAGTTGATAATATGAATGTAAATGAGCTAAAAAATGTCAGTAGAATTATTTAAAAAATTGTGATCATCCATTACTAGGCTTGCACCAGTTCCAATCTTAGGCTTGGAGGATTGGTACCAGTTAGGCTTGGGTTTCAAAAAATATACGAAATGCGAGACTTAGTTTTATATAGCTATGTGACATATAAAATCTTTGAGTGCAAATACAGCTGTCAGCAAAATAAAAACACGCAACCGTCTTTTAAGACCTGAAAGTGGCATAAAAGTTCAACGTTTAGATGATTGTTTAATTCAGCAGAGTTTCGAAATCAACAAAGGCAAATTAGTAGTAGATGGCGATACCGCAAAATGATGAGTCATCGGGTTAACGACACCAACTCTAAACCAAGAATTTTTCATAGGCGATCGTGGAAGTGAGGCTGATCTATTAATTAAATAATTTTAAAACTACGACTAGTGGACTAAAATAAACCTCGTCAGCAGAAAAATAAGAACAAACTTCTGAGTGGATGATCTTTTTGAAGTAAAAAAGAAGCACGAAGAATTATTCTAAGCGCATGGTACAATGACGATTCCATCTTAGGTTGTACGATGAAGCTTTTGCCTACTACATTCGACCAAGCCTAACTGGGACCAAGCCTGGCTGGCAACAAGCCCAACTGGTACTAAGCCTGACTGGTACCAATCCCGGCTTGGAGTTAGGCTAGATTGCATAAAACAGAGATCATCGCCGGGCATTAATAATAGAACATGAAATAATTCTTCACATGCGATCATATATTCCCTATTCAATATATGATAGCATGCTTGTGTTAATAGTATAAGACCTTGATCAAGTTTAGATCGTTGTTTTAATGGTGTAATATTTATATTTTGCAAAAATGTCATTAGAAATTGTTTTAGTGTCTCGTTTCGTGATTCTCCTAGTCTGGACGTGGTATAATATGAATAGTAATCTTCAATGATCTTTGTCAGTAAATCAACATAATTTTTGGTTAGACGTTCGAAAAGCAATTGCAAACATTTGGTGATATCAATAATTTTTTGTCTTATTTGTAAACTGTCATGCTGTAGTTCTTGTTTAAAGAGATTATTCATTTTGATTTTTCGATCATTCGGTTTGTCTTGTTCTGATTTGATCAACAGAGTTTTCTTAATTTCAGCACGTAATTTATCAAATAAACTGACGTTATCTTTAATTAAATTCATTGCATTGATTAATTTGCGTCTATTAAATAACATCTTAAAGTGATTTGATCGCCAGTTTTCATTTGATAATGTTAAATATCCATCTGATACAAATAAACCACTATTTGTCTCTACGTCAGTGTCTTGAAGATCGTAGTTTCATTTCTTTCATCGTCATTTAATATTTCATAGCATTTATTCAAGTGTTGCATTAAATGTAGAGCATCCGTTGTTGTTCGTTTATCTGGATGATATTTTCTAGCTTTTCTATGCCATGCATTTCTTAATTCAGCTTAACTTACATTTCGAGAAACACCTAAGAATGTATACGGATCAATGTTAGACTCGGATAAAAAATTGTCCATTTTAACTTCTACAATAGCAGGCTTACTAATACACAATAGCAGGAATTTACTAATACACAGAAAACGCCCTATTAATCAAAGGTTCAATGACGATACCTCAATGTCGATGTTTAATGGTATAAGCACCAAAGGCCGAAACGGATCCATGTAAAAAATATTGATTCGAGTCGGTCACAGGAAACAAGGGATTTTCTTCAATTACGGTTCACTCATCTATTTTCCAATATGTGTCTTTTTTATCGGAAAAAGAAGTACGGTGTTTTTTCCTTTCTACTTTGACACTGTAATGCACACTGTACACTGTACAGTATCGTACTGAAGCAAAGAAAGAAAACAGAAAAACAACCATAAATAAATAAAAAAAAACGAACGACTTAAATATGCGTCGCATTATGGTGATTAAACTACATGACAATATACGATCGAGAAAAACGATTTTCTGTACCCGATATTCTCGATATTGATCGTTACATTTGGTGTATTATTGAATAATTGTGTAATCTCACTTATAATTGGCCGAGTTATGTTTGCCAATTCTACGGGAGTAATATTTACATATTGAGAAAAATTTCCTGGAAGTATTATTGTTGTTAACACAGATTCTATTTGAAAAAATAAGAATATGATAAAAAAATGATTTTGTCAAATGAAATTGTTTCTTACGATAAGCACAAGTAATTCCACTATATCCATCGGGACATTTACAAATATATCCTCCCCAATATGTATTCGATGTACACGTTCCGTTATGCAGACAAGAACTGGATGCACACCAATCAACTAGAGTTAAAAAAATAAATATAGTTTAATTGGTAATAATGCTTAAATCCACTTCAAATTGAATAATTTACCATCACGACATGGCAATAGTTGTTTATCAAGATCAAAATTAGCAGTTCGACTACACCAGGGAAATCCGTAATCTTTTGTTATACATGTTGTATAATTAACACCATTGTATGTGAATGGGAACGTACAATTAAATACAGCTAAAACAATAAATGAATTAGGAGATAATCCAAAATACAACACTTTCCTTATATTTTTTTTATAAAAAGTTTTCATTGTAAATGGAAAACTCAAAAAAATTTCCGTTATGCTTGATATTATTTTTTTCAAATTTTGTTCATATTTTCTATACATTGAACAATTTAAAAACATTTGAAAAAAAAACAAGAGAAATATGTATTCACAGCTAAATTTGACTTTTAACAAAAGAATTAATTTTTCTACATTACTTGTTATAAGTATCAGATTCGTCTCATTAAGTGCTACCACAAATGGGTCAGCGGTTAAATTTCGACTTAGTTGTGTATAAAACGGTAATTCGAACTGCGGAACAGTAATATTTTAACCGAGAACAGTGATTTGAACTCGGCCAGTTGGACTATAAAGTATAGTAATAAAAGTTTGAGTTTGAGAAATTGTATTAGTTATATACATATGTAATGACAATACGCGTGGGGACGACAGTTCCATTACTAATGTTAAATATTGTCTGATTTAAACTGTTGACAACCGTTTGATAACCAGGTGTACCGGGTTGATAAAGAGTATAGTTTGTAAAATTCTGTAAATAAATAGTATATTGAGTTTGGACTAAAATTGAGATAATATAGTCATTGACACTACTTCTATGTATCACAGAATAATGATAAATGTTATTAAATCAAATGCAGACGAACTTACATTGGTCACAGAATCGTCCAAAATAGGGTGTGACACAAACACATTGAAAATCTTGTAAAACCAGAAGATCGACGCATGTCGCATTGTTTCGACAACAGACACTTCCATTTCTTTTGCAGTATGCTAAATTAATAAAAAATGTAAAGGTGAATAGCAGAATAACTGACACCGCGTACATAAGATATTTTCACCGTATAACAAAAAATCAATAGAATTCAGTTGTAAAGGTGAAGCTTCTTCACACACGACTCATTGCAGTATAATTAGAATTCAAAGATTGTTAACTAGTCATCAATTTCTAGCATTCATCCCTAAGATAATGATTCGATTCTATCTGCTCTGAGTAAAACTTCTGACATCTGTTTTCAAAAACTATGATAGGCCGTATTTTACTAGGCAAAAAGTAGAGGAGTATACGGGGATAAGATACTAAAGTGAAGAGAACGCCGATACCTACGTATGGAGATTACCGGTATCAGCGACTTATCTTAACCAGTATAATGTGACAGTCTTAGAGAGATTAAGCACCTTTTATGCACTCCTTTTCTCTTACCGAATTGAGAGGCACAATCTCTCCCGATTAATCCAGTTAGTCGACAATAGCATGTCCAGTGTGTATCACCAGCAATACAAATAATAGTTCCATCTGCATCGTTACATGGATTTTCATATGGCGCATAGGGAAATTGACATGCAAGCGGTTCTTTTTTTGGTAATATAACTAAAAACAGACAAAAATATGTGTGTGAATGGTATCTATCAAACGTAGAGTTGGTAATGACAAACACTTTTTTGACAATGATAAACTACTTTCTTCACTTTCATTTTTTGGACTCAAAGTTGCAGAGAGGCAGTTATTCTTCTTCGGTTCATCTAAGATTTTCTCAAATATTACCGTCGGTCGATGCATAACACGCTTTTTTCTGATCATTTGTATAATTTTTTGAATATGAACAAAAAGCATTTCGTTCGGGATCCATTTGACATACAGCATACGAGACACCATTGACATTGTAAGGTAATGTACAACCTGGCGCAGCTAAAAATTAGAACTCATTTAGCAAAGCCAAACCTTTTGCGAAAAAAGCTATTACCCTTTACTGGTTGAATATCATCGACACTAAAACCATCAGGAGCTAGAACAGCGTTAAATGATGGTGGTAAACTACTTAAAACTTACTTAATCGGACTAAGTATATTATTAACATCGGTTACGCTTATATTAACTGAAACATCAGCTGTCAAGGCATAAAATGGTGTGGTCCCCTGTCTGACAAAATAAACTAATGGTTGAAAATTGTAACTTGAATTGGTACGCTGACGAATAAGATCTGTAAAAGCTTTTGATAAATTTTGATACGCTTGATTTGTTGGCGATTCGAGAGCATTCAATGTTGTGTTTGAAATGTTTGGAACCAAATAAGTGTTTGTTCCTAATCTGTTAAAACATCAGCGAGACATATGAACTCTTGTATCCGCTGATGAACACCGGTGGTGTTGATAAACGGACGGACCAGTCTTTTATCCTGAGTTGATTTTTGCAAAGCAATTTTAACCTTGTCTTATTTACAGGACCTGTGTAATCATTGTTGAAATAACCTACACAACATGGACTGCTAGCAATCACATAGAAAAATTGAGAACACTCAAAAAAAGACAGAATAATAGAAATATTCTATTTTTCTATTAGAATTTTGATTTGATTGCATCATCGGAGAAAAATGAGAATACAGAGACCTATACATACCACTACATTTCCATCATATAGTGATACTTTTTTCGTTATCAATTTTTCGCTACTCTGTAGAAAAAGAATATTAGAAACGCGTTCATACTAGCCACATTTTTACTTTCCATTCTTCAGTGAACGAAAAAAAGTGTCACTATATGATGGAAATGTTGTGGTTTATATAGGTCTCTGTATCCTCAGTAACATACTGCATTTGCTCCAAGGTTGGTTACTCCGCATCTGTAATCTCAATCACCTTCATCCTCACCATCAACCCTCATCCATCCTCACCCTCAACTCACACAAACTAATGTAAAAGACACCTGTCCATCATACTGATGCTTTATAACTACAATAAATTTATTGAAAACTAATTAGTACAAAGTATCCAGATCAGTCAATAAACTGAAAGTTTCATGGTTAATTAGATAGATGTTCAGGAAGACAGACACATCCGAAGAGCCGATGTTCACCACTGCCAGATCCAGTTTGTTATCACTGTTGAACTCACGTGAGATTACATAGGTTGCGTACCTACCAACCGCACACTTCATTTGCGTCTGCAAGCTCCCAGTTTGAAAGCTTCCATTCCCTTTGACAAGCAGCACAGTGACGCTATTGTCGTGATAGTTAGTCAATCCAGAAACCTATATACATCACTACATTTCCATCATACAGTGACACTTTTTTCCTTATCAATTTTTCGCTACTCGGTTGAAAAGGAATATTCGAAACGCGTTAATACTAGTCAGTTATGGCTAGTCTGACCCGTTACATACTGTTGGTTACTCCGCATCTGTAATCTTAATTATCCGCATCGTCACGATCACACCTCACCCATCCTCACACAAACTCACACAAACTTAAGACCCCTGTCCATCATACTGATGCTTTATAACTACAATGAATTTATTGAAAAATAATTAGTAGAAAGAATCCAGATCAGACAATAAACTTGAAGTTTCATGGTAGCACACTGACGGTATTGTCGCCAAAGTTGGCGGCTGTGAGATCCAGTTTGTCATCATTGTTGAAATCACCTGATGTTACCGACGATGGAGCGCTACCAGCCGTGCAGAAGATTTTCAGCAAAATAATAGAAAAACGATCGAAAACGGTATTTTTGACTTTTGCTACCACGTGAAAGATGTCCAATGCTGGACTGGTTTACCTTTGTCAAGATCTGGGGTGCGTTTCTAGAAAAACTAAGGTTTTCATCATACATTTTTTCAATCCTGCTCGTGTCTGTCGTATATCGTGCTGGAGACTATATCAGTAATCATGTCGTCTAAACAACTTTTAATAGCATATATATGGGATTATAAACTCTCAGGCGAATGAAAAATTTTTGTTACACCCAGACGAAAAAGAATCGTTAGAAACGGCACGAAAACGCGTTAGCGAACGATCATTAAAAGAGCTGTTTAAACGCTTTTTTTGTCGTTGAGAAGTTTAGAATTAGAACGCGTTCCTTGACAACGCGTTTGCTAACGACCGTTAAATTAACCGTTTTCTGGCGTTTTCTAACGACGTTAGAGCGCACATGTCAGATTCTGATATATTCTGTAAATGTATGCAAGTTTCAGACAAAATAGATTCGGTTTGCTGATACATACTATTAATTAACCTACATTTACATCAAATTCTTATCACACTTATTACACATGTCAGCTTTTTTTAATTTAATTTTATGTAATTTAGACAACAAAATAAACAATTTCTCTTAGAAGTAGTATCAAGATTATTGTAGAAATATGTGTACTGCATTCTTTTTTTTTGTCCATCTCAAATATACGTTTACAATGTGCAAATATCTGTCCATATGTCTGAATGGACTTTTTTCCTTTTCTATTTTTATGATACGTATAGAATCGAATTCTTTGCTAAGCTGTTATTTTATGAGTTTATCACGAACGAATTCAAAGACTGTATAATAAATGAATTGAATTTTCAAAGACAAAAGAAAAGTTTGTCAGCCTTAAACACGTAATGAATAATTGCTGTTTGCTGAGTAAAAGCTACATAGTTACATAAACCAATTGATGTGTGTTCACTTGTGCCTGAATAAACCAAAAATAATGAGGAAAAACTTAGAATTCTAAAGTTTTTAAGACTTCAGATCAAGTATGTTTGTTCTTGTACTCTATACTCTATACTTCACATTGTTTTATTGAATGAGAGACTAAATAGTTTATAGATATTTGACTTTCGTAGTTGTATGAGTTTGGATTCTAGAAGACACAATATCTATATCAATCAATTGAAGCTTTATTCTTACGTAGATATTTTTGATGAAACACGAGCAATTATCATTTTTTGTTTGTCTCTGTATCTCTTATAGCAGTGATACTCTTATACATCCAAAAATAACTGATTTTCTCATTTTTTCACTTTGACTGTTTGTTTTTTTATTAATAATATTAATCATTTTTATTTTAATCTTAGTGACTTATGACAAAGAAAATATGCGTGATTATGATATGTTTCTTCATAGATTTTTCGAAAAAATATTAAATATAACATCAGTAAAAAAGAGAGAAGACAAGGTCATTAAATTAGAGAATGGGAAATCCTTCATCGTCATGATATCCTTCCCTAGTGTAATGTTCCTCTTTCTTTATTCTTTATTACTTCTTTTGTTCTCTTGCTTTGTTTTATACACGACTTTTCTTTTTCGTGTCAAAGAAATGTATTGCTGAGAGTCGTATCTATCGGGAGATTTTTTATTCTAAGAATTATTTTAATCACTTTCAACAATTTGATTACCAAAAAAGAAGAAAAAAATAGAAGGGAGAAGAAGAGAAGAAAAAAAAAGTTGTTCATCAATCATATCTAAATCTTTTCATTTATTGTTCGATTTGTACTTTTAAATTTTACTTTATATTCATTCATTTACATTTTGAGAGATCTTGAATGACAAACGAATTAATCGTTATTGCTACGATATTATTTGTTGCTATCATTTTGTTAGTTATTGCCATTATCGGCTTAGTATTCATTCTTAAACAAAAAACACTGTCAACATTAAATCATTATAATCGTGTGCCTGAATCGGAAACAAAATATAGGTAATATTTGAAGTGCCATGCAAACTTGTGATGTTTTATAATTAATTAAAAATAAAGTAAGGTTTATAAAAGATTTTTGACATAATGCGTATGAGATTAGTCTGATAGAAAATCTATATTGAAATTTTAAGTCATCATTAGACTTTGCGAAAATGGAGTTCAATCAAGATCGTAGTCAGTGTTTTTAAAACGTATATATTGTTGAAAAAAATTCAGTTATTGTATTTGGTACGATAGAAATGATGTAATGAAATATAAATTAGAAACAGAAACATGTGATACGGTTTAGGTTAACAATGGATGAGGGATCAATTTCAACGAAAGAGAAACATAAGTGAAGTCTATCTGTACAAATAATTATTAGATTCTCTTACAATTGCGCTTAGAATTGGTACAGTCTCAGTTTTAATCTCATAATTTCTCAAGGATGTAAGTTTTCAACTTGCGATTTGCTCCAAAAATACAGTTTACACTCTCTCTAGGATCTACACAACAAAACTAAGTTGAAAATTCAAATAGTCTTATTTTTTGCAGCCACTTTGCGTGGATGTTTCTTTTGTTGGTATAACAAATTGTATGACATTTTTTTTCTCCTTTCTAATCGATATAAGTGTCCTACACTAACACTATTCAATTATTGAGAAAGTCAAATATATTTTGCTAAAAAAGTTTTTCAACAGCTAAGGATATTTAATTCTCGAGTAAGAATCAAAAAGCATTTTTTTCAGCAAACAAAACAAATCAGAATTCGTTTTATTTGAAAACGAAGGGATTCTTTAAAACAGACAAATATGTCTTTTCATAGATTTGGCAATGGTGTGTTTTCATTTTGTTCAAAGCAAAACAGAAAAGAAAGATGACGCGAAACAACAGAAGTGCCAGTTTTTCATTATAGAAAACTAACCCAAAAGAAAAAAGAAATGCATTTTTATAAAGAGAATAGTCATTTAGTGTAAAGTCTTCGGACGTTTGTCAAATGTTAATTATCTATTCCATTTCTCAGCGTAGTTTCAGGGATCACATTTAACATTTCTGGAAATCTTTTACATATCAGAGCAAACACAAAATATGATGCAATCAAACTCTTTTTAAGAGATAAACTACAATATTTTGTTAATTCTCATCTATGCTCATTAGTTTTGCAATGCATAAATCTTTAGGATAATGTTTCTGAAGTCCCTCATCCCTTACAAATACTAACCTAACTGATTTGTCGACATTTAGCTCTAATATTGATGATGAAAAGAAGTCTCAATTTTGGCAAAGTACAACCGACTGAAGAACCATGGTTCAGTTTGCCTAAAACTGAGCCTAAAACTGAGACTGTACAGAGAATTTTCAACATGACTGTGACTAATAGAATTTTTAGAATCAACTTTATTCTAGTGAGAAACTGACCTGAATTATCTTAATAAGGTCTTAGAGTAAGTTTATAAAGATCGTAGTAAGATTCCAGTCGCATTTGTTTGAAATCTTAGACACATCTTACTAAGTTCGTGAGATCGAAAAATTTCAAGATTTGATAAGATTTTGCTAGAATCTTAGTAAAATCTTATTAAAATTTAGGTTATTTTGTCTAAGATTTTTAGAAGACTGGGTATGAATCTATTATGATCTTAGCAGTATTGAGTAGTATTGAACAACATTCTTTCTCGATTTACTACGAATTTTTGAATAAGCTACATTGTTTAAACTATCAGCTGACACAGAATAATGAGAAAATTCATATTTTTGGAAGTTCGATCGTCGATCTTGAACTTGTATTGTACACTGTCTGAAAAATTGTTGAACACATTCGAAATATGCAGCTATATTTTCGATGTTATTGATATAGATGCACGAGAGCAAAATAAACTAGAGCAATTGCACAGCGCACAAGTTGCGGTGTCGACAGACTCTGTCTCTACTGACAGCTGCCCGAACTTATCAATTCAATCAGTAGATTTCAACTGCACCACTTTCACTGTGATTTTCTATTTCAGGTACTTTAAAAGACGTAATTAGAGAGAATAATAGAACAGAGAACGAAATATGAAGAGCAGAGAGAGAGAGAAATGAGCAAGAAATATATTTCGTCTCAAGAACAAATGACGCCGGACAATCAACTCTTATAAATGTACGAAAACTTTCTAAGTCCAGAAAACATTTTATTCTTACTTGTGTAGCTTATGGCGCTGAATTTGGACTTGTGTTTAAAAAGGAACACGCATTGATCAATTTCCAATGTCGGGAGATTATCCTCCCGTTTACAGAAGTTTCCTGCGTAGTATAGTTCTGTAGAACACGTCATGCACATTTTGTAAAAAAGATAACTAAAGAAGAAAAAAAAGATTGCAATTGCGCTGCGCACAAGTTGCAATGTCGACAGACTCTGTTTCTGACTGAACCTACTGCTCCAAGCAGATCCTATCAGTAGACTGTGAATAATGCATTTTTTGTTTTGATTTAGTCTTTGAACTGTAATTTATAATATAAAAGAACAATGA